CCGCGGCAGCGGCCCCCCCCGGCGTGGCTGGCGGAGAGCGAAGGAGGGGTCCAAAGGCCTGGTTCACCCTGCAAATCCCCTCCTGCCAGGGAAGGGAGGGGAGAGATGCAGGGCTCCATCACACCGCTGACTCAGTGCTTGTGAAAGCCGGGGACCGGCAGCCTCCTTCCAGACACCCGCACACCCTCCTGCCCACCCGGCCTCTCACCCCCATACTCCGATGGGGTGGGCAAACCCCCAAGGGGACACAGCTGTGCTGATTTATTCCCTCCCAAGAAGGGAGCGGGACCCCGAGTCCCCAACAGAGCCCCGAGCGACTGCGCCCCGCGTCCAGCCCCAGCTCACATCAACCTTTTCTCTCCAGCCCCCCCCAACGCCATCCTACACCCAGAGACTGGGTTGGTTTCTTGCACCGATGTTAGATTTGGGATGGGTTGCGCTTCACAATTGGCAACGCTTTCTGCTCCTTCCCAGATCACCCATATGTTGGTACCATTCATATTCATGAGCTCTGTGGAGGCATCCAGGGCTGGGAGAGGAGCCCCCAGCAACAGCCGCTGCCTGCTCGCTCCCAGCCCCAGGAGCCAGCTCTCGCAGTTCATCCTGGGGGTGCCGAGCTGCCAGATCCCCAGGGACGGCCGGGGCTGCCTGGCTCATCTCTGGGCTCTCTCCAGCAGCAGGAGAGCTCTCTGGAGCCCGATGTGCCCACAGCCCCTCTACACTGTGCTTGGCCACCCCGGCTGCAAGTCCTCAGCCCCGATGCTGCAGCCTCGACCCTTCCTTAGCCCCGTCCACCTCGCGGAGCTGTCACACACCTGACATCCAGGACCCTTCCCGAGGGCTGGAACGGGGCACCGTCCCCCCCCCACGTCCCACTGCAGCTCTGCCCTCCTTTACCCAACTGCTTGTGTGATTTAGGGAACAGCTTTTGCATCCTCAACTGCTTCCCTTGCTCCAGGCGCTGCAGCCGCACGGTCCAAGCGCAGCTTGGCAGATCCCAGGGAAGGAGGCAGGAGAACAGCAAGCGGCGTGGCGGGGGGAGGCTATTTTCAGCAAAATGAAATTTATCCGCCTTCAGTCAGAAGTAGAGAGGAGGCTCCGGCCGGCTGCAGGGACGGCTTCACAGAACCAGCCTGACCCTGGGGCTTCGACCCCCGGTGCCCACCCCCAGGCTACAGCGGGGGACTCCGCTCAGCGGGAACACCAGGAGAGACTGTGATGTTATCCTTGAGGGGTTGGGATTTCCCTGGCCCTGATGCTGCCCTACGGGTACGGTAGAGCCTGGCCGCTGCCAGCGCTGCCCTGCCAGCGCTGCCGGCCCCTTCCCTGCCCGCCCCCGAGGCTGTAGTGGCCGCAGTGGTGTCAGTCACAAGCAATAACCGCTATCCAACTAATTGGATACCAGTTTACAGCAAACAAAGAGAAACCAGGTGACATTTACCCAGCAAACTAATTGATATCCAAGTAATTTGTTGGAGAAACCTTGTTATATGCCAGCTGGATTTCCCAAACCCTCCCAATCCTACTCATTACAAACAAGGTTTGTGTGTTAATCAAAGCGCTTTAATCACATTGCTACCCACCATAATTTTGAGCAAGTTACAAAGCTACCAAATTTATCACAGGCTTTCAGATCCTAAACACTCTCTTAAGAATTTGTTTGTTATATTATTAGCAGGCAATAATGCTCTTTGAGAAGAAGATGGACATTTCTCTTTCAAGTGATGACACAGGAGCAGAGCCGGCTTGCAGCACCACCTCTCCTCCCTTTCATCTCCTTCCCGCGCCTGTCATCGCAGGCATGCAGCCCTCCCTCCAGACATGCCACTGGCCTGGTTAATCCCGTCCTCCTAATCAGCACACAGAACGGGAGCTGTTTCCACACAAGAGAAATGGCTCCAGTCAAAACATCAGCTGGGAGATGCTCGTCCCCCCCGGCAGAGCCCACCTACGTCAGGCAGGGCGCGAGGCAGGAGTCCCTGCATTCACCAGGGGCCTCCCATGCACAAGGTTCTCAGAAGTGCTCAATAAATATAACATCAAAAAAAAAAACCAAAAACCAAACAATGCACTAGCTCACAAGCACCAGCAGTGGAGTGGGAACAGCTGGGGGTTTGCAGGCAGAGGTACAAGCCAAGTAGCAAGTCCAAGAAAAGCAAGAAAAAGCGTGTTCCCGAGGAAACATTCTGCATCAAGCCCCTGAGTTGGGAACTAAACCAAGAATGAATTACAGGCTGATTTTATGGCCTTTATTTTGTATTTTTAAAGCTGATCAGGCCTCCAGAATGCAAACAGAGGCACTCCGAGCGTGCCCTCGCGGAAGGAAGCTGGCACGTGCAGGGACCTGCAGAGCACCCATGTGCAGGGCCCCGGGGGGCTGCACCCCCAGGAGAGCAGCCAGCCCCACTTCACCTTCTGTTTTGCCACTCTATCCTCCTCCTTGAGCCCAGGCACCGCAGGAGGAGGCTCATTGCCGTGTCTGCTCAGCAGCGATGGCTCTTTGGCCCCCAATAAATCCAGCCAGTAGCCCAAGAGATGGACTGGGCACCTTCTTGCGTCCCCCAGCCCCTTTCGATCGCCCGTGCGGGGCAGCCTGTGGTCCTGAGCCCGGTACAGCTGCCTGCTGCGTGAGTCGACCTGCCTGTGCAAGGCTTTACCTCTGCCTGCCGAGGCTCACAGCCCCCTTCAGCCAGCTGCCCTCCACATGGGCAGAGACTGTTGGCCCCGGGTCTAGAAGAGCAGGTGTGTCCTGGTTTCAGCTGGGATAGAGTTAATTTTCTTCCTAGTAGCTGGTACAGTGCTGTGTTTTGGATTTAGGATGAGAATAATGTTGATAACACACCGATGTTTTAGTTGTTGCTGAGCAGTGCTTACACTAGTCAAGGACTTTTCAGCTCCCC